GATTTATCTGGAAAGTGCTGACACAAACGTGCCTGTGGCACAACATGCCTATGGCAATGCAGTGGGACACACATAGCATGCTTGCGAACTGTTGGCACTGCAGATGTACCAGGTGGCACAGACAGAGCGCGCTTGAGTGCGCCAGTGGCAGCTCTTTGATTTCACAAGCTGAGGCGGTGGGGCGGCGGCGGCCCGTCTTGAGTGGTGGCGGCTTCGTGCATACAATGTCATGCACTGCAGCCTACCCCCCTTTCAGCTAATGCTGACAGCATCTGCAAAGCACTCTTTTTCGTGCAAATGAGGGCTTCTCTTGGATTTATCTGGAAAGTGCTGACACAAACGTGCCTGTGGCACAACATGCCTATGGCAATGCAGTGGGACACACATAGCATGCTTGCGAACTGTTGGCACTGCAGATGTACCAGGTGGCACAGACAGAGCGCGCTTGAGTGCGCCAGTGGCAGCTCTTTGATTTCACAAGCTGGCCCACACCACCCACACCGTGATGGCGGCGGAGGGGCGGTGGCAGGCTACGGCGCAGCCGGCACAACAGCTGGCGGTTGGCCCAGCCAGCGTGCAAACAAAGCAATGAGTGCGCCTGAAACGGCTGACACCATGATGTTAGCTGCTTGCACCAGGGGATTGAGACCATCCGAACGTGGGCACGCGCCTTGCAGGTTTTCAGGCAAAATTGCAGAATCAACGGAGTACATAAACTCTTCGATGACTTGGTCCAACAACAACGTGACAAGCTCCAGGGCTCTTCGAGCGCAGAGTCTGGCAACAAGTCCCAGGAACTTAGCCGTGAGCCTCATAGAAGATGGCCGGCAAAGCACCAGAATGCACAAACCCAGCAGGATGCCACGTGGGAGACTGCGTGGAAACGAAAGGGAACCCATGCAACGCCTAAACCAAACCAGAAGCCGCCTATTACCCACCGGTTGCTCTGCGGGGGAAGGGTTACGAGGCACTATCTGACAGGGCGCCGGGCGCTCCAAGACCGCCCCAGCGGGAGCAGCCTCTGCAAGAGTTTCCATGGCCACAAAAACCTTGGCAAACTTCTGAAGTTTGTGATCTTGTGGATAGCGTTTTGCAACCCGTCGCAGTGTGGACGGAGAAAGATCGCGGAAACGACGGTTGTGCAGAGGGCCCCCCTCGACCACACAGGCATCATATTGAGCTCGCCAGGCGTGCATACGTAAGAACTACAGAGTGGGGCTGGCTAGGACTAGGATCCCACAGCAAAGCTTCGAGCCCTTCTGGCAACTGAAGTGTTCGCTGGCACCTACGCTGCACCCGCTGCGGCGGGAGTAAGGCAAACAATGCACCTGACAAGAAACATGCAACGCGCTGTTCAACCCCGGACCCCAAGCGCAACAACACCTGATGAGCGACTGCCTCCTGGACATAATGTTCGAGGGACCGCTCGCTTGCCCAGCGACCAGCGAAGCGAAGCCTACCTACTGAATCGCCTTCAGTGAACCTCCAAGTGGCACCCCCTGCTCTGAGACAGGCAGGCGTCAATTTGCAAGCGCGCAGATGCAACGCGTCACAAGCTTCACGAAACATCGCGCGAAACACAGCCGCGGAATTCTGCCATATATGCTGCCTGGGGGTGAGTGCGCTGCACGCCCATTCGAGCCACTGGCAAGCTACCGGGTGACGAAGCAACACAAACTGGGATTTCCCGAGAAAACGCCTGTTTTTGGGAGCTTCTAGCCGCACCACAATATGACCCTGGCAGGTAAGCAAACTTCCTGGCACTGTGACATCCTTACAGCGAAGTTTGAAGAGCTCTCCAGGTCGCAGCAAACAGAAGAACGCAACCTCCACCAGAACACTGAACACCCACCATCGCCGGCGCGAAGCTCCCGCCAGCGAGCCTCCAACAGCGCGCGCGTACGCTACAATAGCGAGCATGAGGGACACCGGGATTGGGATGCGCATTTGTCCTTCGTAACTTTCCTCCCAAGAACGCAAAATGCTCCAAGTTTGTGGCAATTGGGATTTAGCACTGGGTATCAACACCTGTACAGCCAGAACAGCGTGCTTACACATCCTGAGAGCATTGTGGCCACCCGTGCGATGGTTCTCCACGACGTAAGCAGACAAAATTTCATCTAACTGCCGGGGTCGACGAGCTGCGTGACTTAATGAGAGGTGGCACTGGGCCAGATAGGCTTCAAGGTGCTCGGAAGCCTGGAGCAGTTGGCGACGGTAAGCCGCGGAATAGCGTCCAAGCCTCAACTCGAGACCTCGCCAGGCGGTGGAAGGGATGACCATTGCCACTGCTAGTGCAAAAAACTACGAATTGGAACCACAGCCGACGCGCTATAGACACACTGCAAGACTGCGCGCGAAACAAGCAGCCGATACTGTCCAAGAATATGGCCAGTGCTTGGCATTAGGCCTTTATGTTAAAAACAACCAACAATAGTCATTGCGCGACCGAGTAAGCTGCCCAGCTAATATGCAGGAAAAAGGACTAGGACAAGTGCAACAACACGCGCAAGCGCTTTGTCTGATGTTCAGCAGCAGCGAGGCTAAATCCGTGATCTTGGCAAGAAACTATAGGGCGTCGGCTTCGACCAGAGAAGTTCCCGTCAAAACCGCGTGCCGCATAGCCTTGTCTGGCCAGCGGCGCTGCAGCTGAGCCGTCACTTGGACACCTAGCTCCTTTTGAAAATGCGGAGCCCAAGGTCCCGGAGGAGGGATGGGCTTAAACCTGGATGGGTAATCACTAGGATTAGCAGCCGTGCCCACCCAAACGTTGCACAAACACTTTTGCCCTGCAATTGCCCACCCCAGACAACGCTTAAGTACCCGGTTGATGTGCTTGGATGATGAGCGGCCTTTCGCCCATGCCCCCACACAAACTCTCGAATCACACAAGTTGACCAAACGCAAACCTTCAGTGAACCTGTTTGCTGCGTGCTTCAACTCTGACCGCAACATCTCAAGCTCTTGCAGGTTTATGTGGCTGCGCCTGCGAAATCGTTTGACTTGCGTGGTTGTCCAAGCATGTGACAGCATAAGGGCCTCAAGGTCTTCTGTTGCCTGCCTCATGTCAGAAGTGGGAGCCAGGCCGCCTGAAGCCCAATCTAGCCTGACATGTTCACCTCTATGGACTGCGTGGCGATACAACGCTGTGGCGACTGCGTTGGTAGTGAAAGTGGCTGCCCTACCCCCTCCTTCTGAACTGGCATCTGTCGCAGAAATGCGAGGACTAATCCTCCACTTGATGTTGCCATGCAGGGCAGGAAACATCAGAGCCATGGAGAGAAGCTCTTCTTTGCAAGGCACGGGAAGTTTGAAAAATTTTCCTTCTGGGGATTCAGCAATGACCTTGAAGATGCATTCAAACAGGCACATGACTTCACGTCTGTGCATTGCCGGATGTACGCACAACCCTACCACTTGTTGCAAAATACGTTTTGTCACATGCGGAAGCTTGACTACTTCACAAATGGCGGCCTCAATTTGCTTAAGTTTGGACAAAGGACACCCAACACGACCCGACCTACTACTAACTTGAGTACCCCAAGCTATGAAGTCGTGCTCGTACGTGAACGCCTTCTTGGCCGAAACAGGCAGAGACAGGTCAGCGTACTGCTGTCTGGATCTGGCTACAATGGCCTCATCTTCGAAACTCATGCCCTTGCGAAGCCGGCGTGACGGCAAAATTTGCAAAACAAGGTGGTCATCAATGTACAAGCCTTCAAGAGTGTGAGAAGCTGGAACAACTTTTCCATACTCCAAGAGGTGTTGCGACTTAAGGCAGCTGGCCTGTCGCAAGATGCCTATGTGGGTTTGCTGCGCTATGTCCACAGCATTCGTATCACCCATGCATACAACATTGAATGCCACCATGTATTGCAATCCGGGCACGCACCCATACTCCTGAAAATGCGAGCCGTCCCATGGCCTGCCGACTGTGTTGCGGGGCAGCCATTCAGGCAAGTGTTTGATTAGGTAGAAATAGTTAGACAAGTCGTCTCCCGATGCACGTATGCTGTGATCAGGGGGAAGGACCAATTGCGTTAGCAGACTACCGTGGGGCAACCTACTCCAATCTAATCTATTTTCACCAATGTTAAAGGGACGCCTATCATTGATGATTCTGTCACTGGCAGCCTTATGCGGGACGGCAAACAATCCCCCGGACACGACTTTACCGGCAGAGTCGTGAACCGCATCGCTGGCTGGGATAAGCGTGGCCATGCCCGAATCGAGCAGCTTCTTTACCACCTGCAGTTCATTCTTCGGAGATACTTTGTGACAGGCCTTGAGCTCAGGTATGGGCCCTTCTTTTGGGACCCACTGCGGCATGGTCAAAAACTCCTGTGTCTGAGATTCAGTGAGGAAGTCAGGAGGCCAAATCACCCCAGCTTGCTCTGGCAATGACATACGGTTGGGATCAACCTCTAGGGCTTGCTTTGCGAGAGCCTCTGCGTTGAGAGTTGGGAGACTATCGTAACTTGCGCCAGCAATGGCATTAATTACCTGCTCAAGCCTCTCTACACCACGACTTGCCGACCCGGAGTCAGGAAGGCGGCTGTAGACCACTATTTGCTTGAACAAATTCTTAGCATGATCCTCGTGAATCTGCGTCCACGGAGTGCGCTCAAGCTTCTTTATGGCTTGCTCGGCAGCGGACGAACAGGATGGGGAACCACATTCGAGAAAAGAGAACATGGCCCAAGCCATCTCTAGCCACTGCGCAGCTAGGATCTTGCCTCGTCGCTTGCGGGGCTTTTTCGGGCCCGTGGCAGAGCAAAACTTCCACACAGGCAGCAGCGACGGAAACAACGTGCAATCCTCAAACTGGGAGGACGAGTGTGCCCTCGTCCTGTCGTGAACGGCAGCAGCCATTCTGTTACGGCAGGATCGGTATTCCCGCCAAAACCTTCCAAACGCCCCGGCACTATTCTGCAAGAGACTCAGGGTTAATGGGAGGTTAGCGGCATCATATCTAATTAAATCTGGGCAAAATGCCCCTGCTAGTTGTCCTGGCCTTTGCCAGCCCCCTTTCGGAACCTTCGCTCTTTCTCCTTGTCGGCGGCTTGGTCCGGGTTCGGGTTGTCCTCGCTGTTGAGGTCCGTCCGACCACCCAGCCTCGCCTGCCTTGCCCTCTTCTCCAGTTCTTGCTGGGACCGCAAATAGGCTGCAACGGTCTCTAGTTGGGACTCTTCGCCGCCAAAGCGCCGGCGCTGAATTGGGTCCTCGACATGTGTCAAAAGCCAAGCGATCTCCCAGCTGCCTCCATCGAGCGCGGCCTGGTGAATGGCCCTCAATCCCAACACTACCTGCAGCGTTGCTTCTTCGTGCTTGTTCTCCAGCTGCAGAGTCAACACCTCGGAAAGAAGCACGTGTAGGCGTTGAAGTGTACGCTGTCTGCCCCACCAGATCTTCTTGGAGTAGTCGGTAAGGCGGAAAGGTGTGTCTGGTCCGGCGCCTAACTGCTCTTGAACTTCTCGAACATACTTCTTGATGTGCTTCTTGGGATTGCGAAACATCCGCTTTTTTGACTGACGGTAGTTTGCGAAAGCTTTTCCCAAGCCTTGCGGGGCTTTGTTTCTCCGGTCGTTCGTGCCATTTCTGCTTTGGCTGGACGAAGAAGAAGACGTGCTCGGATCTCGTCGATGCTTGGGCTTTGCACGCGTTGCCTTCAGCAGCTCCAGGGCAACCAGCGTCTGAAGTGGATCTTGGTTTTTCCCCTTGAGCAGCTGCATCTGCAACGCAGCTGTGGGATCGAGGCTGGACGACGAAGGAGCTTTGGTAGTCGTTTTCTCCAGGAACGGAAAGCGCTGCTTGATGGACTTGTTGCGACCTCTTGGCGCGTTGCCATCCGCGTCTGAGCTTGAACCAGTGTCTAGCCAAGTCTTTCTGGCTTTGGCTAGTAGCTTGGACAGATCCACGCCTCCATCCTCGCTGCTCTCCTCTGAGTCGCTCTCGCTGTCCGCTGTCACAGCAGATTTCTTGGCCTTCTGTGGCGGTGCAACTTCTGTGTCCTCCGACGCAGTAACGTACACAACGTCGGCTTCTGCCTCCACAAGCTGCAGCGCTGCTTTGCACAGCTCCTGAGGCTTGACCTCTAAGCTCACGTGTGGCTCTTGGCATCGCTCACGAAGTTGGTCGGGCGCTCCCCGGACAAGCACGAATCGTCGATTCCCTACCTTTACGGTAGTGGCACTTCCTTCGGCAGCCTCCTCAGAAGAGATTCTGACAGCCAAAGTTAGCTCATCGTCCGCAATCGCCACTACTGCAGCTTGCCTCCAAAGGGGCTCCTGAAAAGAGTCGTCCAATCGGATGTATGCGATCTTCGCAACCTTCCAATTTGGAGTTGGAGTACGACTGCTCATTCAGCAAGGTGTTAACATTGAATGTCCATGGCGATTTGCTACCCTACAACCCGTCTTGAGTGGTGGCGGCATCGTGCATACAATGTCAACCCTAAACCCTATATAGACCCTAAACCCTAAACCCCAACAGTTCGGGGACTTGACCGCTGATCCGCTGAGGAGTGTTGTCCAGATGGCGGAAGTGTGTTTGAAAGTGGCTGGTTGGGCGTGCCACTTGCCAGCTCAGTCCTGTCCTGTAACTGTAGCTGCTGAAGGCTCTAATTCGGCCATAGGTACCCTAAACCCTAAACCCTAAACCCTAAACCCTAAACCCTAAACCCTAAACCCTAAACCCTAAACCCTAAACCTGGAAACGCATCGAACCCCCGAAACCTTAAAGCCGAAGCCTCGGGGGGCTGGGCAGTCGCTGCTTGGGGGCACTTGCAAGTAGAGTTTGAAGCCAAGGCCCTAGAAGCCGTAAACTCTGCACCCGGTTTTGGCTTCCGAACTTACTGCGGTTGCGGGACCCGGGCTTTTTGAGTTGAGGGGCTTAAGGATCGAGGGTTTAAGGGGCTAAAGGGTCAAAAGGGTTTAGGGTTTAAGGGTTTGCAGGTTTCGGGTTTAGGGAGGTCTTACGCGGCTTCAGGGGCTTTAAGGGTCGAGGGTGTACCCTTGCAGCATAGCCTAGTAAGCCTTGGGGAGAGTCCCTCAGCCGATATGGGGGTTTCCGATATTCGGAGTCCCGATTCGGGGTCCCTTGTTCTCGTAGACTCCCATATATACATATATATATATATATATATGTTAGGGTTTAGGGTTTAGGGTTTAGGGTTTAGGGTTTAGGGTTTGTATGTCTAGCTTGGTCCATAGCCCCTGGTACTTGGGATGTTCCCCCTTGTGCTAGCAGTCCTCAATAGGGATGATAGTAGGGGGTACTAGAAGCCCTGTCAAGGACTGTTAGTATAAGAGGGGGGAACATCCCAACCCAGTATCCTTAGGTAGCCCTGTAAAGGAGCTTTGATCTTTGACATATGCCACTCTATCCGTGAGCTCTTTGCAAGAAACTGCGACCCAAGAACAAGCAATACATATTCCCAAAACCCTGAACCCTAAACCCTAAACCCTAAACCCTAAACTCCAAGCCTGAAGGGGATGGCCCCGCGCGAATGGCCCACTCGAAGTCTTGCATGGTTACGAAGCCGCCCCCTGGCTATGTGGTTTTCGGGGCTGGTTTTGGGGTTTCGGGTTTATACCCTAAACCCTAAACCCTAAACCCTCTGAATCCCACAAGGCCTCCAAGGGTCGTTCTCTTAAGGGCAGGCGATGGGAATACAACCCCTAGCCTAAAACCTAAACTCCCTGAACGACGGCAACCACGACACGTCCACACACAGCAGCCAGAAAGCCCCAAAAACCCTAAACCCTAAACCCTAGACCCTAAACCCTAAACCCTAAACCCTAAACCCTAAACCCTAAACCCTAAACCCTAAACCCTAACGTGCACAGAAGGCCTTCTTCCCCCGCCTCCAGAGGGCCTGCTTCCCCCCTCTCTACGGGGCCCTCAATGCCCTTTAGGGTTTAGGGTTTAGGGTTTAGGGTTTAGGGTTTAGGGTTTAGGGTTTAGGGTTTAGGGTTTAGGGTTCTTCCTCAAAGAACCCCGGGAACCTAGTAGTTACGTCAGATTGGTTTTTTTTTTTTTTTATCAGGTCACCTTGCTTACTGAGTCCCCCAAAAACCTAAGCTCCAAGCTCCCAACCCTAAGCCCTAAACCCTGAACCCTAAACCCTAGACCCTGAACCCTGAACCCTAAACCCTAAACCCTAAACCCTAAACCCTAAACCCGCGAAGGATTCCTCCGAGTCGAGTTGCAGCAGCGACGCAAGCACGGCAGCCTGGGGCAAGCTAACAGTCTTGCAGGTCGGGTTTCATTAGGGTTTCTCGGCTCAGCAAGTCCCTGACTCCCTAAACCCTAAACCTTCAACCCTAAACCCTAAACCCTAAACCCTAAACCCTAAACCCTGAACCCTAAACCCTAAACCCTAAACCCTAAACCCTAAACCCTAAACCCTAAACCCTAAACCCTAAACCCTAACAACATGAAAGTTCCAGCTTGTTACTGCCAGGGTAGCGGGCAGCGAAGGTGTAAGGTCTAGGGCTTTGGCGGGCTTTCCGCTCTTGAGGCCTTAGGGCGTCAACCTGGGTTCAGGGTTTAGGGTTTAGGGTCTTACCCTGGGTACGGCGGAGCTCTGTTGTTGAGATGAGGGCTTGGGGTTTAGGGCTTCGGGCTTCGGACCCCAAACCCTAAACCCTAAACCCTAAACCCTAAACCCGAAACCCTAAACCCTAAACCCGAAACCCTAAACCCTAAACCCTAAACCCTTTTAGATCTTGGTTTTTCACGCTCAGTGTGTCAACCCGACGTTGCCCTTCTTGCGCCTGCGGTGAGAGGCTGCAACTTGCCAAGTCTTCCCCTTTCTCACATCAAGACTGCTTAGGGTTTAGGGTTTAGGGTTTAGGGTTTAGGGTTTAGGGTTTATAGGGTTTAGGGTTTAGGGTTTAGGCACTCCTTTCTTTTGCTAGACCATTCCGTAAGCCCGAAACCCTAGCTACCCATGGGGCTTGTCTAGTATTATGGGGGGTGGAGGGGTTAACAATGGGGGGAGCAGCCTTGAAGAACGAGATTGGACTTTGCTCGAACCCTTCACCCAAAACCCTAAAGCCCTATAGACCTTAAGCTCCATTCTTAGAAATTCCGGTTTGAAGTTGAGGATCTGGGGACTAGGGATTGAGCCCGAAGCCCTATGTGCACCCGACATCCCTGTCGGGTTGGTTTAGGGTGTGGGGTTTGGGGTTTAGGGTTTAGGGCTTGAGGTTTAGGGTTTAGGGTTTAGGGTTTCGGGTTTAGGGTTCAAGGAGCTTAGCAGCCAAGGAGTTGCAGCACGTCGGCGAGGAGGAGAGGGTAATCGGGCCCCTTGGTAGCACGGCGGTGTCCCGAGTTTAGGGTTTAGGGTTTAGGGTTTAGGGTTTAGGGTTTAGGGTTTAGGGTTTGGGATTTGCTACATGGGGGTTTTCGAAGTTTCGGGGGACTTTCTTGGGGTCCTTATTTCAGGGGAATCCTACTATTTGGGGGTCTATGCTGAGTGGGGGTCCCCTATTTTCGTAAACCACCCACTTAAGAAGAACCCTACCCGAAACTCCAACCCCCCAGCCCGGAGCCCTGAACCCTAGCCGTACACATCCGAGTGTCGTGCACAGTTCTGGCAGAGTACGCATTTAGGGTTTAGGGTTTAGGGGTTTAGAGCTTTTCGGGCTTTAGGGTTGTAGGGTTTCGCGTTGGATGTGCAAGAACGGGTTTCACGTACTGCGTCAGCTGGAACTCGGGACATCTCGGAACCTTTTTCTACTAGTTGCTTAAGAACCCCAAAAGAATAAACAATAATAATCCCTATATTACCCTTAATAGGGAAGAAAGTGTTTACATATTTTCGGGGTTCTTAAGCAACTAGTAGTTTTGTGCCGAATCTAGACAAAGTCCTTCAAGGTAAAGACTGTATAGTTTGCAACGGTCCCCGACCGCTCTATTTGTTGTGGGTATGCTAGACTGGGTTTTGGAGCGCTATACTTTCATACTTGTTGGGTTCTGGGTTCCTATTATAGCTACGTAGACCTGAAAAAGTATACTTCTTTTCCAGGGTCTACTCCACAGTAGGGCAGACAAGACCTTCTGGAGTTCAAAACGCCCCTAAACCCTAAACCCTAAACCCTAAACCTTAAGCCCTCAACCCTAAACCCTAAACCCTCAACCCTAAACCCTAAACCCTGAACCCTAAACGTCTGTCGGCTATGTGCTGTAGCTCTGCACGAGCTTGCAAGCTGGAACCGATTTCGGACATGTCTCAAAATAGGGGCACCCCTTTTCATGGCCCCTATTTTCGGAAAGCCCCCATTTTAGTGTCTCTACTGACCTTCCTTCACTTGGTGATTTGCTTCTCAGCGCTGCTCTAAAGTTGTGAGCTTTCCGACGTGGACCTTGTTGCGCTGCCACTCCAATTATAAAGATTTATTGATTGTAGGTGCATTAAACAACAATACTAATAATAGAGAAAGTAGAATCAATCAGGAACCCTTGTATAGATCAGCATCGTGAAGCGTGTTGTCCCGAAGGAACTCTTCTCATCAACACGGTCGCAGACACCTGGTTCAGGGTTCAGGGTTTAGGGTTCAGGGTTTAGGGTTCAGGGTTTAGGGTTTAGGATTTAGGGTTTCCATCAGCATGAAGGTCTGTGACCGTGACATGCATTCCGCGACCCAGCTCCGAATCCCGGAACCCTGAATCCTAGCCGGCCCTAGCTCGACGAAGCTAAAACCCCAAACCCTAAATCCTTAATCCTACTAACCCTAAGCCCTAAATCCGACTAACCCTAAACCCTAAACCCTAAACCCTAAACCCTACGACCCTACGAACCCTAAACCCTAAACCCCAACAGCCCTTCTTCGCAAACTCCACCAGGCCCATCGGCTTGGATCAGGAACTGGAGGCGGAGGTGGGACGAGCGGGGGTTTGCGGTTTAGGGTTTAGGGTTTAGGGTTTGGGGTTTGGGGTTTGGGGTTTGGGGTTTGGGGTTTGGGGTTTGGGGTTTGGGGTTTGGGGTACCAAATTCCCTCATTCTCTACTGAGGTCCAGTAGGATTTTGCCAGGTAGAGGGTCCGTTTTTTTCAGGTTTAGGGCTCTTAGGGTTAGGGCGGGATGTCGGGTTTCGCGTTGTGTGGTTTTTGGGATGTCGGATCGCGGTCCCGGGGGTGACACGCCAACAGGAGAGGTGTCAGGGTTTAGGGTTGAGGGCTTGCCTTCAGTCTCTTCTCTGCGGCTGCAAGGCCTCCCACTCCCTGAACCCTAAACCCTAAACCCTAAACCCTAAACCCTAAACCCCCATAATGCCCTCAACTTGGGATGGCCCTCTTCTACGAACACTCCTTCGTAGGGAATACAATACTTGTACGGGGTGCTAGAATCCCTATTGGGGACTGTTCGTATAAGGGGAGAACATCCCCAACCCTCAATGGGTTTGGGGTTTAGGGTTTAGGGTTTAGGGTTTAGGGTTTAGGGTTTAGGGTTTAGGGTTACTCGAAACACTAAACCCACAACGCTCAACTCTGACCACCATAACCCTCCCCCGCCCTCCCTAAACCCTTAAAGCACAAGCTCATCTAAACTCCTGAGCCCGAAACCTAATCAAGCAAACCCTAAACCCCAGACCCTAAACCCCAAACCCCAAACCCTAAACCCTAAACTCTAAACCCCCCCAAGAAACTCTCATCTAGTTCAGGGAAAATGCCAGGTGTTGCTCAGCATCCTTCGCCGAACAGCTGTTGGCTCCTGGGTCTTCAGCGTCTAGGTGACCGGGCGGCACCCTAAACCCTAAACCCTAAACCCTAAACCCTAAACCCTAAACCCTAAACCCTAAACCCTAAACCCCTAAACCCTAAACCCTAAGCCCTAAACCGTCTGGGTGACCGGGCGGCAGTTGTCGGCGCCAGGCCCCCAACCCGAAAGCCCGGAGCCTCCAACCCCCAGGTCCCGAACCCCAATCTCCTTAGGGTTTAGGGTTTAGGGTTTAGGGTTTAGGGTTTAGGGTTTAGGGTTTAGGGTTTAGGGTTTAGGGTTTAGGGCCGTTTAGGGTTTAGAGCTTAAGGTTTAGGGTTTAGGGTTTTGATGTTCTCCCCTTATACGAACAGTCCCCAATAGGGACTCTAGTACCCCGTATCAAAGTCCCTATCAAGGACTGTTGGTAGAAGGGGGCACATCCCAGGCCCTCTGCTCCAACACCTAAGCTCTGCGAATGGGTAGAGGAGAATTCTTAAAGATTGGCTTACGTTGGGAACACCTGGGCTGATCTGAAAGCCCTTTCATGACCCTATATATGTATGTGTATATATATATATGTATATACGTTTTCTATATATATATATATATATATGTGAGAGAGACACCCCCCCCATGCACCCACGCCTTTTTCCAGAAGCTCAGCTTCTGCAGAAAGGCGTGGGTTGTTGGGATCGGGTGAGTGCCTGAAACTCATACTTTATTTCGTATATATAAGCACACGAGCCCGAAACATACTTTTTTAGTATATATATACTCTATTTCGTATATGTCAGCACACGAGCCCGAACTATACTCTATTTAGTCTACATACTCTATTTCGTATATATATATATATAAGCATACGAGCCCCAAACATACTTTATTTAGTATGTATAAGCACGGAACTTCTTGAGTCTCGAAGCCAAAAACCTATTCAAGTTGAATACGTTTTGAACCGATTTGAATCGGGTTCATCTTTGTTTCCCAACCGTGCTTGTTCAACATTTCTTGCGCATCAGGCCGCTGCATTAAAGAAATAATCTTTCGGGAACAAAATCCCACGCTTATGGGCCTAGCGCTTTAGGATGTGAAGGGCATTAAGAAAAGACAAGTTAGGGAATAGGAGTTAGGAATCCCGTCTTCAGGATGTGAAGGGCAGTAAGAAAAGACAAGTTAGGGAATAGGAGTTAGGAATCCCGTCTTCAGGACTTAGCGGCAAGATTTAGGGAAAAGCCACTCTCCTAGGCCCCATACCACACGCAGTCCCACGATGTAGCGTTTAGGATTTAGGCTTAAGTTTGAGGTTGGGGTTTTAGAGGGTGGTTAGGGAATAGGATTTGAGAGTAAATAAAGGGCTTAGATGGAAAATCACTAGCGTTTGAGAATCGAATACGATTTGGATTTACAATCACGAGACCTTAAACCCTGAACCCACAACCACACCCACACCACAGGGGTGGGCCCTAACCCTCAAACCTGAAACCCTAGCCCCCCAACCTGTATGCATCGATAATTAAAAAAAAAATTATATATATATATATATATGCTCACCCCCCCCCATGATCTAGGTCGAAAGGCCTTTCGGGCCCATCGAAGCGAGATTTAAACCTAAGTCGGAATGAAAATTAAAAGGCCACTGGCCTCATTCGTAGTAAAATTTTTTTAGAAATCTAAATTTGCCAATTAAAAGCCGCACCCTATGAAATCCTCTTCTGGGGCCTGCCTGTCCGTAACAAAATCTCACAAGAGCTTTATATGCAGAGGTTACAGCCTCAGAAATCCTCATCTGGGCTTCCTTCCTATTTTATTGAGAAAATGCTTCTACATAAGAAGCCCACACCCTACGAAAAGAATTCTATACTTAAAGGCCACACCCTATGAAATCCTCTTCTGGGCCCTCTTAATGAAATTTCAGTAGACTTGTGTCTGATAAAGCCACAGCTTCGTTCGTAATTAACCCAAGTAAAAAAACATATTAAGAGGCCCAGCCCCAAGACATCCTCTTCTAAGCCTCATTGATTAATACCTATTTAAAACATTTTTGTTTTTCCCACACCCTGTGAAATCTTTCGCTGGCCCCATTCGTAATGAAACGCAATTTGATTTCATATTGTAAGCCCACACCCTAAGAAATCCTCTTCTGGGCTTCGTTCGTAATTGAACCCAAGTAAAGCAAGTGTATATTCAGAGGCCAACCCCAGGACATCCTCCTCGCAATGAAACCGAGTTAGAATTCTATATTGCAGACTATACCCTATGAAATCCCTTTCTGGCCCCTATTTGTAATGAAGATTAATTAGAATTCTGTATTACAAAGCCACACGCCAAGAAATCCTCATTATACCTTCGTTTGTAATTAGACTTATTTTTGATTTGCCAAGATGCTTGTATTAAAAAAAGCCACACCATTCTGGGGCCTGTTCGTAACAGAATCTCGGAAGAAGTTTATAATTCTAGGTAAGAAGCCCACACCCTAAGAAGTTCTGACCTAGGCTAGGTTCGTATGTAACTCTTGGACAGAAATTTATATCATGAGCCCCCATTCGTATTTGAATGTACTTACAATTCCATATTTAACCGCTAGACCCTATGAAATCCTCTTCTGGTGCCTATTAGTGAAATGTCAATAGACTTGTATATGATAAAGCCATAGCTTCGTTAGTAAATTAAACCCAAGTCAAACAAACAAATTAAGAGGCCCCGCCACAAGACATCCTCTTCTAAGCTTCATTGGTTAATACCTATTTGGAATTCTATTTTGCAGACCACACCCTATGAAATTCTCCCCTGGCCTCGCTTCATACTAAAATGTTATTTGAGGTTTGTATTAAAACGCCACACCCTAAGAAATCCTCATCTGGACTCGTTTGGAATTCCACTTAAACTGAATTTTAAGTTTAGAGGCCACACCCCTTTGGACAGAATTTAAAGGCCACACCCTAAGACCTGTGTATGGTAAAGCCACAGCTTCGTTCGTAAAACCAAACCAAGTAAAACAATTAAGAGGCCACGCCCTTCTAAGCCTCATTCGTTACTACCTCTTTGGAATTTTATTTTACCGACCACACCCTGTGAAAGTCTCCTCTGGCCCCGCTTCGTAATGAAATGTAATTTGAGGTTTGCACTAAAACACCACACCCTAAGAAATCCTCAACTGGACTTCCTTTGTGATTCCACTTAAATAGACGTTTAAATTAAGAGGCCACACCCCAAAACATCCTCTTCGAAGCCCCACTCTTTTTTAAGTCCAATTAGACTTTTGAATTGCAGGTCCACATCCTCAAAAGAACCACACCCTAAGAAACCCTCTCTATTTCTTTTGTATTACTTTTCATATTAAGACGCCACATCCCAAGACATCCTCTTCTAAGCCTCATTCGTAATTAAATGTAATGGAACTTTACATGTTAACGCCACGCCCTGCATACCGAATAGGCTGAATTGAAAAAAAGCGAATGGTGGGTGTGTTTGTGTGCTTTTCTCTGTGTGTGTGCAAGGCAGTCACATTAGCAGAAACAACGTATAACA